ATTGGACCAAACACTTTCACTTCAATGCAACATGTTGTACAAGTTGTAAAGGACAAGTACCATGATAACAATCTTGAATTTCAAGTATTTTTCAATGATCATATCACTAATGATTTCAACACCCTTTTTCGTTCACTACCTGTTGATCGATCCTACTATGCATCCGGAGTTCCAGGATCTTTTCATGGTAGATTATTTCCATCACAATCTATACATTTTGCTCATTGTTCTTGTGCTATACATTGGTTATCTAAGATTCCAAAAGAGTTGTTAGATACAAATTCCCCAGCATGGAATAAGGGATTGATTCACTATGCTGGTGCATCAAATGTTGAAATAGCGAATGCTTATGTTTCTCAATTTCAAAAGGACATGGAAATGTTCTTTGATGCAAGAGCTGAGGAGATTGTTCAAGGAGGAATGATGGTGCTAATTTCACCATTTTCAGGCTGGGATTCTCTCAATTTTCTTGGATCTAGTCTGATGGATTTGGTGAATGAGGTAAGTAATTGTGTCGTCACATCCTCTATTTCGTTTGAACTTAAGTTATATACATCGTCAATATACTTTTTTTTTGTACTATGAGGTCACCTAAAGGCAAAGACAAATCTAGCATTATAGTTATGGGTTCAGAAAAATTTAGTAGCTTTGGCTCAATTATTATATTTGTATTAAGAAATTCACTTAATATGTATAAATAATTTATTCTGAATCTAGCTACTTGTTATTATGTTTTAGAATTCAGAACTCATAAATTTAAAATCATGATCCTTCTCTACCTATAGGATACTATAGGTAAGTTTTCTTAAAATATATATGAAATTTGTACTTTAATTTAAACGTAATACTGGAACAACAACAAAAGAGACATTTAATGACAATAAAATTTTCTTTTAGCGAAATATTTAGCGGCAATTGAGTTAATGACATTCCATCTAGAGTCATTAAAGCTTTTAGCAATATTTGTATAGAGTATTTGTTATAAGTACCCATATTTATTGTTGGTGCTAATTAATAAAATATTGCGACAAATATATAAATTATTGCTGCAAAATGCTTTATTTGTTATAGTTTAATTACCTTTAACTCTTTCATTTCACATGATATTTTTTCCCTTTTTAGTTTATTTAAAAGGAAAAAAAGATTTAAAAAAATTGATACATTATTTACTTGTAGACTCCTTAATTAACTTAAACTTCTCATTTTACACCCTCACGCTCTCATAATCATATAAAAATCATGAAACATATAATGAAATAAGTTCAAAGTATACTTTTGACATGTATACATGTGTCTATAAAGGCAAATGTAGTATATATATATATATATAAAGTTCAAATTCTGAATTAAAATATTATATTTAGTTAATATTATCATATAAAATGAAATGAAATAAGTACAATTTTTGTCTCAATTTATATAATGCACTATTTTGTCGTACATTTATAATTGATCTTTCTTTCTTTCTTTTTGACTTATATATAGGGAATGTTAGATGAATCTCTAGTTGACTCATTCAATGTGCCAATTTATCTTCCTTCTCCTGATGACATAACTAAAGTGGTGGAGAAAAATGGTTGTTTTAGCATTGAGAATATAGAGTTAACATATCCTCAATCAAAGCTTGTGGATGAAGCTGATGCAAAGACTTTTATCATTAACCTAAGAGCTATCTTAGAAGGACTTTTCATCAATCATTTTGGGAGTAAAATAGCAGAAGAAGCTTTTACAAGGACTTTTTTAAAAAATAAAGAGATTTCAGCATGGATGAAAACGAATTACAAGGCATGCCAACTATTTATCGCTTTAAAACGTAAATAAGAAATTTATCCATACATCTATTTATATATATAATTAAGGTCTATGGAGATTGATAAGATATGCACATCCCATATATAGGCCAAGTTTCTTATGTATCTTTTATTATCTAATGTTTTTGGTGGATTGTTTTCCCTTTATTTAATTTATGTGCTCTATTGTTATTACTGTATAAAGAAAATTGAGAAGTCTCTTCATTGATGATCTTAACTAGCCCCCCTCTCTAGCTATTCTTCTTCTCTTGGCTAATGATTATTTTCTTCGTCTCAAATTATTTATCATGATTTCTAAAATTAGTCCTTTTAAATTATTTGTCAATTTAAAAGTTCATGTGCTATCTATTAGATGTCTATGTTTCCAAAGAGTTATTCCCTCGTTTCAATTTATTTCTCTAGTTATTATTTGGACAATCAAATAAATTATTTCTTATTATAATTTTGAGTCAAATATTAATTAATTTGATCCTTATATTTCGAATCAAGCCAAACAAATTAATACATAATAAATAGTAGAAAAGAATAATTTTACAAGCACTCCAAAATCTTCATTACATAAGTTGAAACAATTCTTTTGCAACCAAGAGGCATCTTTTCACTCAGTAAAGATAGAGTTACTGATAAACTTGTGGATGAGGCTGATGCAAAGTCTATTGCTGTTAAGAACATGTCAATCTCCATAGACCTTGTTTATTATATAATAATTCTTAACATAAATTTATTTACGCTTTAAAGCAACAAATAATTGACATGCTTTTTCGTAATTTATTTTCATCCATGCTGAAATCTCTTCACTTTTGAGTATAGTCCTTGTAAAAGTTTCTTCTGTTATTTTATTCCCAAAATGATTGATAAAAAGTTGTTGTAAAACAGCTGTTAGATTTATGATTAAAGTCTTTGCATCAGCCTCATCCACAAGTTTTGATTTAGGATATGTTAATTCTATTTTCTCAATGCTAAAAGAATTATTTTTCTCCACCACTTTAGTCATGTCTTCAATAGAGGGAAAATACACTGGCACATTGAATGAGTTAACTAGAGATTCATCTAGCATTCCCTATATGTCAAAAAAAAGATACGTTATAAATGTACGATAAAAGAAAACTAAGAAAGTACTGGTTTTGTTTCATCTCATCATAAGGTGGTATTTTCGGGATATAATATTTTTTTTAAAAATTATTTATATATATTAATCGAATTTCATTATCTTACCTCATTTACCAAATCCATAAGAGTAGAGCCAAAAAAATTGAGGTAACGATAACCCGAAAATGGTGAAAGAAGCACCATCATTCCTCCAGGAACAATTTCCTCAGCTCTTGCATTGAAGAACATTTCCATGTCCTTTTCAAATTGAGCAACATAAGCATTCATTACTTCAACATTTGAAGCACCTACATAGTGAATCAATCCCTTATTCCATGCTAGGGATTTCTCATCTAATAATTCTTTTGGACACTTAGATAACCAATGTATAGCACAAGAAGAATGTGCAAAATGTATTGATCGTGATGGAAATAATCTACCATGAAAAGATCCTGGAACTCCAGATGCATAGTAAGATCGATCAACAGGTAGTGATCGAAAGAGGGTGTTGAAATCATTGTTAAAATGATCATTGAAAAATACTTGGAATTCAAGAATGTTATCATGGTACTTGTCCTTTACAACTTGTACAACATGTTGCATTGAGTTGAATGTGTTTGGTCCAATTGAACATCCCAAGTCTGTAATATAAAATTTGTTTGAAGAAGATAACATGTTTTTGATGTCAAGATTTTCAATAATTGCTTCTTTCATCATCTCCTTTGCACCATCTAACACTTCTCTCTACAAATACATACATATGATATTCATGAGTCATAAAATATATGAAGATATACATTGACCAAGAATTTGAAGTTTTTATCACATGCATAATTAGTTCTCCAACCTTTGAAAGTAGATATTTTCTATCGAATCAAGACTTTATTAGGATCTCCGATTTGAAATTAAAATGTTTTGAATATTTTAACTCGACCTAATTTAACATATGCTGATAAAGGATGTATGAACTCTCGAGAAGAGACTTAATTAAATTTCACGATATCACCCTATATGTCCTTCTGAGAAGCCCTAACAACCCATACATAGACAACAACGCAATTATCAGGGACCACTAAGCTAATAGTCCGTCATAAATTTCAAAAAATAATTTGTTTATATATAAGTGATTGAGATTCAAAAATAATGCAAGAAAAATACCTGTATTTGGGAGTTTTTGGAGTAGCTATAAACAGCATCACCACTATTCATTGGGAAAGATGTTGGCATTTTGACTAATTGTCTCTTTACCCTCAATTCTTGGTCATAATAGCGGCCTTGATCTTATCTTATATAAATTAAATGTGGATGGGGTAGGAAGGAGACATATAGAATTAAAAAAAAAAAAAAAAACTCTAAGATAGAGTTGACTTAATTATTTTTGGTTGATAGAGGGATTCCCAAAAATGATATATTTTTAAAAAATGGCATTTTTAATTTAGTTTATGGTAGGATTATTATTTAATGGTCAAGTAGTAGCATTTTTTAATTCATGTATTATCGCGTTATTCCTATTTTAATTCTTGTAATATGTGAGTAAGGATATTATTTTTCCTTTAGAAAATCAAAATAAGATTTATCGTTCACCCTCTTCCCCCATCCTTTATTTTTATCCTTATTCTAATAATCAATAATTAGAATATATGTCAATTTATGGTGACCATCTTAAATTGTCACGTAAGTTAGACAAGTGGATGGAAAATTAGCCATATATGCCTCATTTGTTTATTGGTTTGTTAGCATGGAGCAACCTTGAGTAGAGTATACATGATCACCGGAATTCAATAAATTATTATTTTTTAATTAATTTAAGGTGATGATAGGTATTCATAAATTTTCAATTTTAAATTCGCCTTTGCCTTCAGCTTTTTTTCATTGAGACTTTGTTCACATTCGGTAGCAGCTTGTTGGTGTCCTTTTAGATCAGGAACTCTTGCAATTGGCAACCTCACTCTCACTCTTTCTGCTCTTCTCCTAACTCTCTCGACTCTCATCGATGCTTTAATGAAAAAACATGCAATAACAAATGGTTCAATAAAATTAGTTGTCTAAAATCAAACTTATTTGTATCAATTAATAGTCAATAGATACAAAATTGGTCATTGGTGCCTCAGAGACAAGATAAAGATGAAACGCGTTATGAGTTAATTTTACATTTCAAAACTAACAACAATTGTCTCGAAGTCTTGTAATATTCATCTTCCAACCATGCAGAAATCTCTTCTATTTTTTCCAAAGTCCTCTCAAACATTTCATTTGCAATTTTACTTCCAAAATGTTTGGTGAATGTTCCTTCTAAACTAGCTCTAAGGTGACTTATGCAACTCTTTGCATCAATGTTAGATTGAGGATTTGTTAGCTCCATTCTCTTTATGCTAAAATATCCATTTTTCTCCACCACTTTAGTCATGTCTTCAATAGAGGGAAAATATATTGGCAAATTGAATGAGTCAATTAGAGATTCTTCTACAATTCCCTGTATGAAAAAAAGAAGAAGGAAACGTGTCACATAAAATGAGACTAAAGCATTGACAGAGTTAAATGTGGTGAAGAGGGTTCAGTTGAATCCCCTTATTGAATTTGTAATTTTTTGAATTCCCTTATTAAGATTCTTGACTCCGTAATTGTTTAGAAGATCCAAAAAATAGAATATGAGATATGAAGCCTAGATCCAAGATATTTAGCATATACTCCCTTCGTTTCATTTAAAGAGTTTAAGAAAGTAAGAGAGACTTTTAAATCTCGTGATCTTAAATTAAATATATGTGTAATGTACCAAAATTTCATCTTATGATTTTAACTATGTGGGATAATACATAAATATGTCATTTAACTTGGCTTCAATTGTCATTTATACCCTTCAACTTTGGGTGTGCACAAGTAGACATTTAAACTTGTATAAAATTGAACAAGTAGATACACACGTCCTACGTGACATAATACATGTAGGAAGTTACATAGGACACAAAATTGTCATGTAGGATGACATGTAAGACAAATGTGTCTATTTGTTCAATTTTATACGAGTTTAAGTGTCTACTTGTGCACACTCAAAATTAAAGAGCATAAATATCAGCTGAAGCGGTCATATTTATGTATTATGCCTAAATATGTCATGTTATTAGATGCTATGACTACAAGTTACTAACTTTAGAGAGAGTAACAATGCCTCCTCCCCCTAAAAAAATAGACAAAAAAAGTACGACACACATAAATTGAAACAGAGAGTATAAGGTTATGAGTGACTCACCTCATTGACCATATCAATAAGACTAGACTCAAGAAATGTGAACATCTTATATCCAATTTTGGAGTATGATATCTCACTTGGAATAGCTGGCAAAATAAGAACAATTAAACCTCCAGGAACAATTTCCTTTGCCCTTGCACTCAAGAATACTCCCATATCTTTGTGAAATTGAGCAACATATGCATTCCATACTTCAATAGAAGCACCATCATAATGAATTCTTCCTTTATTCTTCACATCTATCAACTCCTTTGGAGCCTGGGATAACCAATTTACCGCGCAACAAGAATACGCGATATGAAGAGAGGACAAGGGGAATAATCGTCCATAGAAAGAACCGGGAATTGCAGATGCAAAATATGGTTTTTGATCGGAAAATAGTGATTTGAATAGGATATTGAAATCGTTTGTGACATGATCGTTGAAGAAAACATGAAATTCGATGTCAGGACTCATAGAATCGAGTGATAATTTAGAATGGTACTTATCTTTTATGGCATCTACAATATTTTGCATTGCAAAAAATGTGTTTGGTCCAATTGAACATCCCATGTCTACAATAAGAAATGTTTTGGTTTTTACATCAAGATTTTCAATAATTGCCTCTCTTATCATCACTTTTGCATTATCTGCAAATTTTCTCTACAAAAAAACAAAAATAGTGTGAAAAGTCAACCATTTAAATCGAAGCTAAAGTCATAATCATAGTAATGACGAACTAAGAAATTTCGTTAAAGGTATTCAAATATGTTCAACATTTATCTAACATAGGCAAGTTTGAACACCAAACATAGCTCAAAATATAATTACTTCATGTGTTTGAGACACATTTTTCTGTTTAGTTTTAAAATTATTTATGATATTAGTCTATTATGTTCAAATTCGAAGCGTGAGACTATTAATTAAGCAAATTCAATAAAGCAATACTATAAATATTACCTGGGCTGAGGAATTTTTGGTGTAGCTATATACACCTTCACCACTCTTCATGGGGAAAAACTCTGTCATTATGGAATTTAAGATTTCTTATTTTTTGCTTACACTTTAATTTGCCAAAAACTCTGCATATATATAATTTAAATATCACAATAATATAATTCAACTGTCCAATAATCAATATTCAAATGACACAATGCCACAGTACATTGCCCAATAAATCTTAAATGTCACAATAGCAATATTATTCAACTGTCCAATCAATAATTAAATGACATTATAATACAACTTGCCAAATCAATTTTAAATGTTACGATGAGTCAATAACACAATGTACCACTATCTAATGATATATATATGTCACGATCCAAATTAGGACATTATGAATATGGTACTCAACGATTACTTCAACAAAAATAATTTTTAACCGTAATAAATATGTACATTAATAAAAAGTGTTAAATTTTTTTATTGAGATTAGTTAATTATCATTAGATCCAAAATCTCTAACACCATGACATCTATGTACTGAACCCTTAACCCTAATGTATCAACTACTTGTAATTTGTACTTTAATTTCGAGTTGTAAGTTGTAACTAGACAACAAAGGTAAATATTGATATTGCTCAAATACACCTTTAGAGTAAAAAAAGTTATATATATATATCAAAACTTCATTATCTTTATTTCAAAGAGAGAAAATTTCCTCAAGTTTACATTTCATGACCAACATTTTAAAAAAAACACTTTACTATGCCCCTATTCCCTTCTTATTATATTTGCCAATAATAAACAAATAAATAAAATAAATAACTCTCGAATTAAACTTAAGTTCTATATTTTACCCCATATTATAACTTATATACATTGCACAAGCCAATTTCTCAAAATAATTAATTACAACCCACCTTTTGGGACTTCTCAAGAAGTAAACAACATTACCATCAATATATAGCTCTCCATCCTTTGTTGGAGATTTCGATTTTCAGCTCTGTGAATGAAGTCCTCTTTGATAAAAAACACTTTACCTTTCAAAATATATTTTTTGTACGAATCCAAATTAATTGGAGTTCCACAACGAGTACTAGATGAAAAAGATTAAGAAGATATATTTAGCAAGGAGAATTTAACACGTAAGCAAATTTTCCCTCTTTCCAAATCCAATTTTGCCCCGGTAACCAACCAATGGCCCGGACTATCCAATGGGCCTCTACACAATTGTGTTGTATCCACAAATTTAAGTAGCTTTTGGGTATGCACCGGCACCGGTGGGCCCGTCGGGTACACGCCCGAGTCCACCACCACCGGTTTCTCGGATAAAAATCCGGGAACCGAGGATGCACCACTAATAGCAGATAAAAAACCCGATGACGATTTCGTGCAACTCTCAGAGGCACATTGCATCCATTGAGACTGCACGACGCATGAGTTAGACACTTTAGAATATAACAACCTGAGATGTAATACACTCTTCGTATCGTGTTTTTTAACGTGGAGTTGAGCACCCGTTACGATGAAACTAAAGCCACTCTCGTAAGGTGCCCAATTCGGGTCGTACTTTACGGGAGTTGTGCATACGTGTGAGAATTTTTTCCATTGGATGGCTTCGAAATATCGATGGTCGGGTGTGTCTTCGTACCCACGCCACGTCAGCGGGTCATCTATTTTGTCTTGTAGGAGTACTGGAGTGTTTATCAAGTGTTGCAAATGTATGGCCAGCCTGAAACAACCACTCTCTTCATTAATTTAGGTTAAGGTTTTTTCTAATACTACGAATAATAGTAAGTCACATCACATAAAATGAAACGAAAAAAAATATATAATATATTTGATTAGGAAAAGGAATTACCTATTACACTTTACTCCTTCAAGATAAAGTCGTATTCCAGTTACAGGTGTCTTCCCAACAATTACCTGATAACATAGTAAGATATAATTAACATAATTAATTTGGATTTCTAGAGTTAAAAGCAAATATATATAGGTAATATATAAATGTGTTATTTAACTTGTTCTTAACTGATATTTATGATCTTTAACTTTGAGTGTGTGTAAGTAGATGATTAAATTTTTATAAAGATGAACTAGTGGACACACACGTCCGACATGACATAATACAATTCAGAATGTGTTTGGTACAAATATTATTTTTTTTATGAAAATTGTTTTTTAAGGAGAACAAGTGAATTTCTTACTTAGTTTCTCATATTTGATATGTATACTAAAAACACTTGTATATAATCTAGATAAATATTATGAGAGGTGGGGGTTAAAAGTTGTGTGAGATGAGTTGTGTTGAAGGGTGGAAACTGGGGAAGAAAAAATGTTGACGGATTTTCTAGAAAAAAATATTTTCCAAAAATGAAGAAAAAAACTTTTCATTTATGTCTCTCGAGCTCTTCAAGATCTTTCGTGTGCATGTCGGATCCTCCAAAACTAAATTACTTTTGGTGGATCTGACAAGCGCGATAGCATGTTTGAAGAGTCCGAGCAAACATAACTTATCATACATTTGAATTATGCGTCACAATAAGCCCCTTTTATTTCTTTAAACTTCGCATCCAATCAGATACCATCACATAAAATAGAAAGAAGGGAGTATTAATTAGAGGTGTATTCTTTCTTTATTTTTTGCACTTTTGTTAAAAGATGGAATTTTTACCTGAGTTGGGTTTACATATAGCTTTGGGCCCATCAAATTGAATTGAAGAGATGGAGGTCTAATGGACCTATTTGTAGTTGGGCCTAAGGGAAGATCATTGTGAATAGGGGCCCAAATCTTGTGGGCTTGAAAATCCAGAAAATATTGCAAATCTGCTATGGGTGGTTTATCTGCAAATCAATACATTATTTTAATTTAATATAATAATATATATTAAATTATTCAAAAATAAAAAATATATACAATCTGTATGATAAATACACTTCAACTAACATTTGTCTCCACTATTTAATGTTTAAATTATCATAACGCCAAGTGGCTAAAGTCAATTTGGCATTTATTCAAGAAAATATATGGAAAAGGATGTTATTTTAAAATTTATAAAAAAATAATCTTGAAAAAATCCTCTCTAATATTAATTTTAGACTACATAAGAAAATACATCCCCGTGTACGAAGCATCCCACGTTCAACCAGTCTGAAAAAAGGTTGTATCCTAAGGGATGTGATGTAGACAATCTATCCTGACATAAATATTAATGACTGATTCCACAATTCAAACTCGTACGTAACCTATAGGTTACCTAGAATATAGCTATATTGTTAGTGTAGTTTTGAGAGTACTACATTTTATTGTATAAAAAAGGACAATTTGAAGCACAAGCGTCCCACACTTGTGCGAGGTCCGGAGAAGGACAACACCCTAGGGATGTATGATGTAGGTAGTTCATAAACTCTGATGCAAGTTTTAGTAAATGATTTTATGATTTGAATACGTACTTATAAGTTGCACGAAGATAATTATATCGTTGCTGTAAATTTGAGACTATATAAAAAAGAGAAGAAGTATATTATTAACTTACATCTAAGATAAAGGTTGATAGCATGTGATAAAAAGCCTTTGCCAGGAACACCTTTGAGAAGTGAAGTAATAGGAATGAAGCTAAAGGCAATTGCATCTGGCATTGAAGGCACTGTTAAAAGCCATTCACTATGTGTATTTGCTGTTAGATCTCCACCTCTTTTTGAACATATCACAGTTACACCCTGCAATAGAAAAAAAATTATTATAATATTTTAACTTTTTTTTAAAAAAAAAAACAATTGAAATATCTTTTTTTGTTATAACTTTTTAGTAAAATTGTGTTTTAAGTTTCGGTATGGGAGAACCTTGGAGTAATAGTAAAGTTATCTTTATCTGATTCGATATTCACGAGTTCGAGTCATGAAATCTATCATTAATGCTTGTTGCACTAGGATAGACTCAGTGACAGAACTAGAAGTTTCTAAAATGTCGCAGTTTGGTTGAACATATGACCTAAATCAATTTTGAATCTCCTTTATCAATACTATACTTTAATTTTTTTTCATGTCAATAGGATTCAACAACTCAGATATAATCAAAATTCAAAAAAGATTATTTTTACTCTAGTTGCATAGTATTATTTTTCGATGAAGTGTGTTTGACGGAACTCTTTGACACTACTTAGTTTTGCCACGGTATAGATTGTCTACATCACACCTTTCTTAAATGTGACTCTTTTTAGAATTTTACGTGAACGCATGATATTTCGTACATGAAATTATCCTTTTTTTGTGTATTGATGGTCAACCAAAAGCTCAAATTTGCTTTTCTTGATTCTTCCAGCTAGAATAAATATAAAATTATTTCACATTGAGTTATTTTCAGTAATTTTAGGGATCTAGTTGTTAATATTGACTTGAAAATCTTTAGACTTTTTTATATTTTTGCTAATTTTTTGGTGAGTTAAATTCAAAGAATCTCCCATGTGTGATGGATTATATGTTAATTGGAAGATTCCTAATGTCAAAAGTTTACACTATTAGCTGGAGAAGTAGGCCTATGACTGGTTATGATGATACAAATCAAAGCAAGAAAATTGACCTAACAATTCATGACTAAATTCGATCTGGTATTCGTATTGAAGCTTCACTGAATTCGAATTTGCACATTATTTGTTCCACTTCTGAGGGCAACACCACTCCTAACAAGATCTTTTTTTATTACTAGAGGTTCGAAGTCGAGACCTCTAATTAAACGTAGAAGGATTCCTAACCATTCCACCACAATTTTAATTAGTCGTAAATAATTGATAAGCATTAGGTATTGATAAGTACTTTTAAGTGTTGAAATTAATCTTTTAGGGACAATGAAAATTTAGGTGATTATAAGTCAGTATTTTGACAATGAAGACATTTGACTTTTAGGGACAATGAAAATTTAGGTGCATTTTTTAATATAAAATTGAAAATTAACATATACAATTATCAACTTACATTTTTGGTTGTTGCTGATGGAAAGCTGCTTAAGATGTTGGGTTGTGGATCAAAAATATTGAATGCCTCAATAGTCTGTAATTCAGAAACAAAAATGAAAAAGAAAGGGAAAAAAATCAGTTCAATTGAAGTTAAATAAATAATTAATTAGATTGCTTATCAAATTCGAGCTTTGAGCATGGAAAAAAGAAATCTTATAAGAAGCTTCTCCACATTTTTATATTAATAGGTTAGAGAAAGATTATGGAAAAACAATCGAGGATTATAGCAGGATGGATAGGATTCATCAATCATTAATCAAAGGATTTCAGGTTTGAGTCCTGACTGAAGTTACAATAGTAACATTAAACAGTCAAATATGTTCAAAGATCTTGAAATGATCTTTCCGTTCGGAGGATTGCATTGGCCTATCTAAAGGGAAAATCCT